GGCAACTGCAGCCTCTGGCAGGCGTTCAGCTTACTGCACTTGGGCTGCTTTTATGGGACAATAGGGAACACCTTGCTGATAATATTTCAGATCATCTTTAAAGGTTTTGTAGACCTGTCCAGAGCAAACGTTGCAATACAAGCCTTTCCTTCTTGAAATAAGCTAAACAATTTTAAATTTTATTTTTTAATAGAGAAAAATCAGATTTAGGCAGTTGTTTGGCATGAAATGTGTCAACTCATACAGTTAAACCTTGGTACCATTTTAAACAAAATTTAAAAGCTTTAACACTGAAAGTATGAGGACACATGGTGCTACAAATTGACCTCAGACAGAATTCCCAACAAGCGAACTGTGCTTAGAAACCATTAGGTCCCCAGCTCTGCAGGGGAGGTGCCAGGACGGTGTGCTCCTCTGCACGATGCTCCTGAGGGGCTCTCTGAGACAATACCAGCATGCGGTAGCAAAATGGTTGATCTTCTGCTACTTGGATTCACAGGGACGCCTGGGGAGTGTGTGCGCAGGGTATCTGACTGCTCTGCACGATTACCATGCACTGTCTCCCAGAAAATCAGCTGCTGGGCTTGTACTCCTCCTAGCATGCCTCTAATGACATTTTTGCCTTTCAGTTTACTTGTATCAATTCCTTAGTTTTATTTGCTGTAAGCAAAAAAAAAAAATTCTTGTAGCCCTTGTCTGTCAAAAATAATCATTCTGATTTAAATTACTGTCACAAATCCCTGAATTTCATTCAAATTATTATTTGTCTGACATTCACATGCAAGCAGTTAAAAGCTTGAATTATGCAGGACTAGGGAAGGGATCATCCCCCTGTAGTCGGCCCTGGTGAGGCCGCACCTCGAATCCTGTGTTCAGTTTTGGGCCCCTCACTACAGGAAGGACCTTGAGGTGCTGGAGCGTGTCCAGAGAAGGGCAACGAAGCTGGTGAAGGGTCTGGAGCACAAGTCTTCTGAGGAGCGGCTGAGGGAACTGGGGCTGTTTAGCCTGGAGAAAAGGAGGCTGAGGGGAGACCTCAACGTTCACTACAACTGCCTGAAAGGATGTTGTAGCCAGGTGGGGGTCGGTCTCTTCTCCCAAGTAACAAGAAATAGGATGAGAGGAAACAGTCTCAAGTTGTGCCGGGGTGGGGTTTAGATTGGACATCAGGAAAAACTTCTTTACTGAAAGAGTGGTCAAGCCTTGGAACAGGCTGCCCAGGGAAGTGGTGGAGTCACCGTCCCTGGAGGTATTTAAAAGACGTGTAGATGTGGTGCTTAGGGACATGGTTTAGTGGTGGGCTTGGCAGTGCTAGGTTAACGGTTGGACTTGAGGATCTTAAAGGTCCTTTCCAACCTAAATGATTCTATGATTCTCATTTCCTCAGGTTGTGAAATAACCTGACTCCACCTGCTGCATCTATCATTATAACATATCATTTAAGAAAATAATTGTAATATGCACAAATGCTTCATTCATCACAGTAGGTAGAATTCAGTGCCTGTGGCTATAGACTGCCCCATTTTTTTATCTATAAAGAAAGAGGGGTTTTTTAAGACCTCCATTGTAGAACAATCACTGATGTAGTGCATCATAGAATCATAGAATCATTAAGGTTGGAAAAGACCTCTAAGATCATCGAGTCCAACCGTCAACCCAACACTACCATACCCACTAAACCATGTCCCTAAGCATCTTCTTACACAAAGAAACAAGAATGTTAAATGCTAAGAACATCTACTCCTGTTCATAGGTTTTTTAGGCAATATCTATAAACTTGTATTTCTATTTCTTTGACCAACCGAACACTTTTTTTTTTTTTTTTTAATCAAAACTTCAAGGCTACAAAGTCAAGCCTGACTGAGAAACAACAGAATTAAGACTGTTTGCATGACCTTGGTTTGGTCAACTAATATCAGGCATTTTATTTTTCCCCCTCACTTTTTTCTCTAAGTCTCAGCCTCCCCACTCTGACCCAGTGTAGATTTGTAGTGACTGCTTGTCCTACTTGATTTCCTTGGCTCTCAGCAGCTTTGCCCAGTTACTCCCAAACTCCGGTCACTTCTCCCAGATGCTCTCAGCCCTCTCCCAGCTTCATATCCTTTTTATATATCCCCTGAGGTGGCTGCCTCCCTCTGCTCTTTTCTCCCTAATGGATGCAGGCTTTTGCTTTTAGAATTCAAATCAGGCTGTTCTATTATTATTATTAATTTATTGTACTATTATTATTATATTGTTATTTTACTATTATTATGTACTGTTATTTTATTATTACAGCTTCCCTGAACTGTTAAACCTCTTTACTCGTGCTTGGACAGGGAACAGTGCTGCTCTGTTGTGGTTTTGACTATGAGTCAGGATGAATAAACCAATGCATTGAAGGTCATCATCCAAAAAGATTGTTATCTACATCAATAAGGTTAGTATTAACAAGGTTGGAAATATTTTCCCAAATTTGAGCTTTTTTGTGTGTTTTTATAGTATAACTTAAACAGATCTTTAAAACAAGGATTTACTTCAAACTAGAAATGTAATGACAGTTAAAAATGAATCCCACTAAGTTTCTAAACTGAGAAATACATGTAATCTGTTTAGGATATAGTTTTATCTAAGCAAGTCAAAGTTTTCCGGTGAAACATTTTTTCATTAGATTTTACATTCTTCTGTAACTTTACATGTTGTTGTAAAATTCCCAATCCGTTCTGCTGTTTGCTCCGAAACAATGAAACTGTGTTGTCCTCGTCCTTGGGTCAGAAGTTGGCCCAAGTCTTGTCTGAGAACTTTGTTGAAAGACAGAGTCTTTACACCACTGGATTTCACACCTCCTCTCTCACTACAGTCTTTAGGATCATCCAATTCTCTGAATATAATTTTGATCCTCCTCTTTTCTGATGGTGTTTCCCCATTTTGCATTACCATGAGCATGTATCTTTTGCATGAGCTTGTTAGCTAGTCCTCTAGGTGTTTCATTCATGATTTCACTCCCATTAATTTTTTTCATAGACAATTATAAAATAAACTTTGATAGTTTTGTCTAGAGAAGCAGAGGCAACTGTTTCTTTGCGTGTGTCGCTGTTTATCTTTTAAATAGGAATGAACTGCGTTTTCACAGCCATAGTCTGTATCCACAGACTGAAAAATTGCATGGGATAATTACCAAGGAGTTTGTGCGGTAGCATGGGCTTTGACAAAGTAATGTTGTTATAAGAGAAGATCCTTCAGAAAGTATACAAAGTGTGAAAGAAACATTGGGGAAACATCCATCTTTTGGCATAGAGCAGACAGTACGTACGTTCCACTGCTCCAGAGCTAAACAAAGCCTCCAGGACACAGCGTTTTGCCCAGAATTTCTTTCTATCCTCAGGTTTCTATTAAATTAAATCTGTTCATGCTATTGATGAGCACTGAGTTGAATACTGATCAGATGAAGAATTGACAGCAACTTGAATGCCCTGCTACTGACTTGTTCAGCACAGAGTGATCAAGTGCATAATATTAATGGACTGTCTGTCTGCATCAACAGCTCTAAGAAATGAATCACAGGACAACCTGTGATACCTTCAGTCAAGTTCACCTCTGTGCAGACAACTCACAGATCACAGAGATGTAATTTGATTTGATGAATAGTTCAATTATTTATTTTTGCATAGAACTCTGATAAGAGTTTTCTGAACCATGGGATGGATGCAGCATAAAAATGGCATTAACAGATAAAAAATACCATCTTTCTTCTTACTTTTATCTGTCTTTGTCTCTTTGGAGTGAGTTTGTGTCTTGCTCTTAGGCTCCCTATGCCTGACAGTTACACTAAGCTAGAATATGTTTTTTACAAGGATATGAGTTTTCAATAACTCTTATACTCTTTCCTTAATAGTATTGATTATAAAGGACTTTTGAGTTTCATTGATAATACGATGTTCTAAATTTGGCACAGTCTCTACAGACTTTAATTCCAGAATGCTGCTGTTTATTCTTGGGCAAAATCTGTGTTGGAGAATTTGAAATAAAAATCAATAAATGCATGTAGCTTTTAGCACTGTACTTAATATTATATGTTTTGTTGACAAATCTGAAGTTATCACTATAAATTGTGTATGTTGTATAGTTTATGAGTGTGTTGGGTTTAATGGGTAGACATAGAGTGCAAACTATATTAATATATGAATTCTGTGAAGTTGGGTCCACTTTTGCCCGGTTCTCCACTGTTCAAGAGAATGAATTTGCTTGTCTCAGTTTCATTTGCGTAGATTGGACTCAAAACCTCTTGGTGTGAATAAAACTCCTACATTGTTATCAGACTTAGATAAACCTTTATAGAACTTAATTGTTGTTTTGGTGATACACTGCACACTCCTATATAGAAAGCTTCTGTTGCCTTTGGGTAATTTCTTCTTGCTTCTGCACCTTCTTACTTTTTTTTTACTTTTATTATTTACATCATGAATATCTAAAAAGTATTTGTAGGAAACCAAACATAGTTTTTCTTAAGACTTTTTTTTTTAACGAACATAGAAGTATTCTGCCTATACTGAAAATAGTTTTCCCAGCTGCTGCTGTCTCCAAGCCGTGACAGTGCCAGGAGATGGTGCTTGGACATCCCTCCTGAACATCCACATCCTCTGCACTATGTGAATCCCAGTGCAAATGAAGTGACAGAAAATGTTTATAGTTTGTGATTTAAATGTTTTGCTTTATACAGGTGTAATACAAAATATTATTACACCTGACAATGTGTCTAGCTCTTACTTAATCCAGGGAAGAGCCACTTTAGCTGGCTGACATGTACCTCATGCTTTCTAGAAATGTCCTGTGTTCTCACCATGCATTTGGTGGGTATCGTATCACCTACCCACCTTCGGCGCTCTGACAGTGCTTATGTGATTTCTCTCCTTCCAGGCAAGTAAGAAAATGTAGTGGGACGGAGGCAAGGACAAGAAGCCCCAAGCAAGCGCTGGGACAAGGGCCTCCGGGCAGGACTCCCCTCCCTGCCGCGCGGCCTCACCATGTCCAAGAAGGGAGCCAGCAGCCGAGCTAGGGGGGAGAAGCCGGACGCCTTGGCCGCCTTGCAGGCTGCCAATGAAGAGCTCAGGGCCAAGCTCACCGACATCCAGATAGAGCTCCAGCAAGAAAAGAGTAAGGTGTGCATCTTTTCCTTTCCTTCCCCCATTAATTAAAATAAAGGTAGTCTGCTGTTTCTGACCGCTAACCACTCTTCGGTCCACTTGTAGCTGACTTGTACGTGACTTCGACAATAAATCATCAGAGTGCATGCACCAGGAACTAGCCTTCTGTGGGAAACAAAAGGCAACCCCTTTATTGCAGATTTCTAAATTGTTCTCCTTGTATTTATAACGTGAATAGGGGAGAAAAGATCACTGAAGGCGAGGGTGCTTCGGCAGTATAGCTCTCAGTGGAAAAGCCAAGCAGTGAGGATGGCCAGTCCCTGGGCAGGCAGGACTCAGCTGTGGGCAGCACGCTTGCTTCCGCCATCCAGGAAGAAATGAAGTTGAAAAATCGCATAGCTAAATGCCAGCAAAAGATCTGGAAAAACAAACATCTGCTCAAAACAGATGGCATACTCGTAGTGGTGGGCTGAAAGCTGTCCATGTCCTGTGTTTCTCTCGCTAGAACTTTTTCTAGTAAATATTTACCTTTTACAAGGATGTCTGCATTGAGGGTTTTGAATGCAATTTTGTGTTATTCAGAAATTCTCTTTGCTTATTATTCTCTTTCACATTTACACTAATTTAATTTGGCTCATATGGTCAAAATCCTTCAAACTGGCTGCATACAATTTTCAGATGTGTGGTAATAGGTCTCAGCTCTGCCTCCCCCTGTGATTGCCAAAGTTTAAAGAGACGCAGTTTTACCCTGAGCCTTGGAGAGAGCAGCAGCCAATGCAGCTTGAGCCTCAACTTTAAGAGCTTTTAGCTGTAGCCTTCAGACCACTTCTCAGTGAAGTGGTCTGAAATGAAAAATTTATTTGCTTTTCCATAATCCCCCAAATTAGTTTCCACTGATAAACTTTGGGGGTTTTTTGTTCCAGAATGCTAATAGAGACGTGCATTATCATGCCGGGGACAGAATGATATTCTGCATTTTTCCATTAATTTGCATCATTATCAAGCATTGTAGACTATGAATCTAATTTTTAAGGAAGCTTGTAAGGGGGTGTGTGTATATATATTTAAATAGAACACCTATTAATCCTTTTGTTGTTAAGCAGCGTTTGCAGTTTTAAGACTGAGGATCCTGTTTTCCTTCCCCTTGTCCTCCCCAGCCCTTTTGATACAACGCTTCTCATCATGGCTCCTCTTGAGTTCGTGGTATGGTTTTAAATTGAAATATCATTTGACCCTTCTGTGATCAGATACAGTTAGTTATCTGTAATGCATAATTCATTGCTGAAAAAGCATCTGATAAAATGCAATTGTTTGGAGCTTCACAGTAGCTTGCACAGAGCTTCTTCTGTCTTGCTTATGCATGTGCGCACAGCGCAGTTTGGATCTGCATGCCAAAATACTGGCTTAGCATCTGGTTTCTCACATATTCTTTCGGGGATGCAGTGTAACAGCTTCTGCAGATATCCAGTTGAAAAATGAAGTAAGGACTCAGACTTACTCCACGAGATACTGGCTAATTCCTAAATGCGTATTATCTTAAATATTAGTTTGTTTCTAGCAACTACTACACACACGTTAGGCTAGTTTCTGAGCATACACTTCCCATAGTGTATGGATATTGATGGCTAGTTCAGTTGGGTTTTGGGCTTCTTGCATAACTTTATGATACTTATTTATGTTGTGTTAACTCATGCTTTTTAGGGCACTGAATTGGGCAAATTAAAGAATCAGTAAGATTGCAAGGCATTATGATTTAATTATAAAAATAGAATATGATGCTAAAATCAGCTTTGGTGCCTAGACTTTTATCCTCAATATCAATAATTTGCAAAATGACAATGATACATTTTTGTTTCTCTTTTTCTAAATATGCAGATATTTCTGCTTATGCTGATCTCCAGTGAAAGAAAAGTCTTTTCTACAAATTTGTCAGGGTTCTTTTTCTTATTTTCACAAATTAGTTTGCCCTTAGAAGACTTCTCGAAGTTCTCTGTAATGTCACAGCTTTTTCTTTACACGTGCATGGTTTGGTTCTGCAGTGTTCTCATTTGTGAGGCAGGCTTAGGCATATTCTTAACAAGGAAACCTTATTGTGTCAACTGGGGACGAAAAATGCATCTTTAGTAAAGAGAATTGACATGAACATTTTTTCCCAATAAACACTTCAGTAATTAATTACAATGTAGGGAATATCCACTTCTTAATTTTAGCATTTAAATATGTGCACAGGCTGTTTTGATAAACATTACAGGACAGAAAACACAGAGCAAACAGACGTGCGCTCCCTGCCTCAGAATAAACGTGCCCAAAGGAAAGGGTCAGCTATGCAAACACTGCAAATACTACTGCAAATATATGCTGGGAATATCTTCTAGTGCCATTATGCAGCAACCACTTCAATAAAAAGCTGAGGTGGGTCATTTTTCCCCTAAGACACATGATCTCATTTGTATCCCAGAAAATCATTCATAACCTAACTCTGTTGGCTCTTCTGGTGTGTATGCACAAATGTAACCTCCCAAGCAGGGATGTATGATCACTAGTGCAATAGATAAAATCGTAAGCTGTACATTAGTGCCTTACTAAGTGCAGTGGTTCATAGCCATAGCCACCCAGAGGAGAGGTTGTATCTTAGTCATTGTCACTGTTGATTTCGATTATGTGGAGCTGCAGTGGCTACACCAATGACAAGGTGAACACTTACTGGTGCTTCTGGAAAGAGGCTGCATCTGCCAGGGCTAAGACGGAGTTGTGCCCAAAGTATTTGTAGTAAATTTAGAATCACTTTTACAACCCTGAGTCCTCCTGACTGTGTTGCTAGATCAGCTGTGTTACTAAAGATCCCCACAGGTACCTGCCAAACCTTGAGTCCAATGACAACTGTGACAGTGCATTGAAAGTATTTGCCATAAATTGCAAGAAAACTTTTCCCTGTGAAAATGTTTTACAGGGGTTTGTAATGTGTATTTTCTTAACACGAAATGTTTCAAGAGAGGAAATTACTCTTTTGTAAGTCTACAGCATGCAGGCTGTGCGGCAGAGCTCAGTGACTCTAGTTTTACCTGGAACCTCCTTAAAAAAGGGATGTTTAATATGCAATAAAGTATTAGATCATAAAGAATCAATAAAATACCAAATGTGTAGGTCTGCGTGTGGTAATACTAACTCACCAGGCTGGGCTTTTGCTCTAAGGCACAGACAATACCACCTTAAGGTCTAATATTGTGAAGTGTTCCATACCATTCTTAGATAATATCATAACTTGTATTAATCACTGTTGATTAAAAATACTTTTTTTATTTTCCTTGTAGGTCAGCAAGTTGGAAAGAGAGAAAAATCAGGAAGTTAAGCAGATCAAAGAGCACGAACAGCATAAAAGTACAGTGGTGGTAACAGAGCTCAAAGTCAAACTTCATGAAGAGAAAATGAAGGAGCTCCAAGCTGTTCGAGAAGCACTTTTGAGACAGCATGAAGCTGAACTACTTAGAGTAATAAAAATTAAAGATAATGAAATCCAGAGACTACAGGCCCTTCTCAATGCTGTACGCGATGGGGCTCCTGACAAGGTGAAAACGGTGCTGCTCACGGAGGCGAAGGAGGAGGCCAAGAAGGGGTTTGAAGTTGAGAAAATAAAAATGCAGCAAGAAATTTCAGAGCTGAAGGGGGCTAAGAAACAAGTGGAAGAGGCTTTAACTATGGTCATCCAAGCTGACAAAATTAAAGCAGCGGAGATAAGGAGCGTGTATCACCTGCATCAAGAGGAAATCAGCAGAATTAAGAGGGAGTGTGAGAGAGAAATTCGTAGACTGGTACGTGTTGCTATCTGCATCTATGTTTTTACTAACACGTTATTGATAGTAAGTAAAAGAAAGTTCAGTGCTGGACTCAGATGAATGGATAAGGACGGGCATTCAAACTGGAGCTTGCTTCAAATCGGTTTTACAGTTACTAGTAGAGATGTCAAAAAGTTTTTTAAAAATGATTAGGATGTTTTGTAAGGAACTTCTTTATCTGTGTCACTGCCTATTAATATTGTTCAGATTTCAGATATCGGGAAGAGGCCTTGGGTTACCAGCTGGTTAGGGGAATTCTACAAAACAGTTATGTTTCTTGGCCCATGCCTCTATTTCCCCACCATTGTTCCTTGCTGATCCACCTTGGTCCCTCCCTTTCTCTGCCTTTGCTAGTTCCTGTAAACATCACATAATGAGCTTTACAGAATCTCAAAATGCTCTCTCTTCTGCATCCCATAGTGAGTCCTATACCCTGTAGGCAATGACCCCCTTCACTCTGCAAGGCGTTCAGGAAGGGGTTCCTCTCTGTGACCCACCTTGGTGGCTTTCCCCCAGGACAGGCGCTGGTGCTCTTCCTTTGGTGGCCCCACGAGCAGCAACTCAGCAAGCTCCCGACCTCAGTATGTTACTGGGATTCCTCACCCGTCATTGCTCATCTGATCCTCACTGGGTCTTTGTGTATGCTGATCAGCCTTCAATCACCTAATTGAACCAGTTGAGTCTCAGGTGCAACAGTGTGACTCTCAAAGGCAATAGCTACATACTTATGTCTTCGGAGTATTCCTCCAGTGTGTTTGGAAACTTGTTGGAGAGATTAAATTGGATCACATTGCTTGGAAAAGGGGAACTCCCTGTGGGAGGGAGCTCCCTCCAACAGGGAAGTCTTTGCAGGAGAGCCTGGCAGGCCACCAACACTTTCTGTGTTTTAGGATGATTTCTTCTCCACTGCCATTTTGGACACTTGCCTTACGATTCATAGAGTCTTATGAGTGCACAGCTGATTTGCAGGACTGTATCCCTTAACTGTTGCTGCCATTCCCAAGGACATGGAAACAAATGTAACATCCATACTCTCATGATGCATATTTTAGGTCTTGTCTTAGTGTTTATTTGAAGTTACCATCTTTTTGTTTGCCATGCTTTTTTAGAGCATTCAGTGTCTCAGTATAAACTCATCCATGTCTCTTCTAAGTCGTTATCCCTTGATTATTATCCAAATCCTAAAAAAAAATTAAAAATGTATAATCAGCTTGCAGACTGGCCCCAAGTCAAAGCATGGCAGTGTAGCCATGCTTCAGTGGATGCCCTGTAGAACCAACCCACCACAGAGTTGGTACAGCATCATCTGTGTCCTAACGAACCAAAGTGACTGACAGCGACTGACACACTATGCACTGCTCCATTAGTCAGTGGAGCATTGTGTACCCTTTATTTAGCCACCCCTTCTCTCAGACTTTAGGCTGTTAAGTTTTTTTTCTCTTCATAGATTATTTTATTTTTATGAAGAGGATATTAAAATAATTTATAACCAACTGATCTATTGATACTGTTCAAATATCCTGCAGTGTAAGTACTTTCTTCTCTAAACATACATTACTAGATGCATTGATTTAATACATCAGAATGAAAGGATGGCTAATGTACGTCCTAAATAAACTTGCTGCATTACATGAAAAGTCCACGCTAATGGCCTCTTATGTAGAAGCTATAAAATAAATATGTTCTTCGTTATAAGGAGCAGAGTGGTTTGAGGTTGTTTCCTAAATTGCCTTTGAAAATCAAACTTTTTTTTAATTCCTGCTTGAAAGAATCAGATTATCTAACTGTAGTAATTAAATTACATGATGCCATCATTTTACCAAGCCCTGAGTGCTTCCTGAATGACTTTAAGTACTCTCAGCTCATTGACTCGACTGTAATTGATTTCAGTGGGAGCTGTTGGCTCCTGGCACCTTGTAGGGGAGGGCCCTGCCATTTCAGGGGGGAACGGCTGGTGCCACGTCATATGATAAAAGCTCTCCTTTCTATGAAAATGAGGCAGTTCTCAAAACACTTAAACTGTTACTGAAAACCAGGGCTTTTTCCCCTTTTTAAGATACGGACCATCAATAAAGTACACTCATTGAGCCTCACTGGGGTTGCAATGAGATAGAGAGAAATGCAGAATAGCCCGACATGAGTGGGTCCGTCCATCCAACGGAGCGATGGGATTGTACCTTCATGTAACGGCTGTGGCAGACATCCAGCCCTGAATGGTTAATGGATCCACATCAGGATTTTAAAAGCTCCGTGATTCATGTACAGTGCATTATTTAGCCATTTTAACTTAACTTAAGGGGGGAAGTAACCTTCAAGCAAATTATTATTTCACGCCAAAAAAATACTGCTTTTTTTGTTTAGTCAGAATAGAGGAAGACAAGTTGTACTCATTCATGTTTAGCTTTGTAATGATGTGAAGTCCTTTAACATAAAGTAATTTTTTTGATTTATTTATCTCCAATAGGTACAGTTTTTCATTTCCAAATCAAGTACATCTGTGCAGGCTTAGCTTATGGAAAATACTTCCATATATAGTCAGACAAAGATTGTTTTAAAAAGGTGAGTTAGTACTAGTCTATTATTCTCCTTTCAAATTAAAACTAGGTTTTTTTCTTTATTGGACAGACAGGAATACATTTGTTGATGTCTTACTTTAGACTTCTGGAAAAATGTTAGATGGCTTTTAAAGTAACAGATGTGGTAGGAAGATATAGCATTATGCAAAAAGGAATTGTACAGCCATCAAATTTACTTCAAGCAAGTTTATTTTGGTCTTCAACGTCATCCTCTTTTGCCAAGGGAGATGCAGGGTATATATGCTCATGCTTTCAAAATAACCAGCTCTAATATGAACCTTTCCGTTTTGTTGACTTACTACAACTTTGAATGCAGTCAAATTTTCGCATCAAGCCAAACCCAGTGCCAGTGAATGAACTTTGTCCTCACCAGGTTTCTAAGGGGAATCCCTGCATTTTTGCCCTCTTCCAGAAAAGATCTTGGAGCAGGCACAGCTGCACTGCAGCCTGTCAAACCAGCTGTGCCTGTGCGCTGTACTCATCTCCAGCAGCAAAACTAAATCCAAAATATTCTCGTGGTCAAAAGGAGACTTCCAAATGCAACTGCACGCTGGCTCCCCTCCCACTCTCGTGCCAGGACATGTTTTCAGCAGACCCTACATACACAGCAAACAGGCTGTTACAGTAGAGGGGCAATATTTGCAGGTGGTAATTTTGGTGGTTTTGCACTACAGGCACGCAGAGGCTTGCAGATTGTAACAGCTAACAAGGTGTAATCTCTCTTTAGAAACGGTTCCTGCTTAGTATTACCAAATAAAAATTCTAGCTATTTATTCTAGTTATTTTTCAGGTGCCTATTATTTTTCAGGATAACTATTACTCATTGATGCCGATGGCTTTGGACTAATCCTATACAGCAGAGCTGAGCATCTTTCAGTTCTGTTAACAGCATAGGAAAGGAAATAACGTGTTTTGCAAAAGTGTATGTTCAAATTATTCTGGCCTTGTGGTTTCTGTTTGCACATATGGCTTGTGCTGTTTGTGTCTGTAAAGTCTGAGTGTGATGCTCTCCAGAGAAGTACAACTAACCCAGTTAAGCTATCATTGGCTCAGAAGCTTACGAAATGTTAATGTAAAAGATGAAAGTCCCTTGCAGATGGTAACAAGTAAGTATGGCAACGACCTTCTTTCTAAAGAATTTCTAATTTTAGTAAACTTTTTGTGCATTTCAAAACAGCTTGAAATACTACACGAATGTATTTAATTACATTTGTAGGTCTCCCACTAATAAGAGCACACCCTGTGTTAATGTGTGCACATCCAGGGAAAACAGCCCTTCAGTCAGGAGAATTCCCTGAGATTAACTGGCCTTGAATTTTGCTTATGGGGACTAAAATTCAATGTGGTAAAGAGCTTTTAAATTTTACTTAAATGTAGATTGGTCAGAAAGGTGAAGTGCTGAACAGCAATGGCCACTGCAGCCTCCCTTCCTCCTGTCTCGTTTATAAGGGGACTAAAACAGAAATCAGAAAAACTGAAGAAATGAGATTTGTTAGAGACTGGAAAGTGTTTATTTTCAATTTCAGAAATTTTGATTGATGATGACTACCAAAAGGTTTAATAACCTGCTCTGATATTTCATGTCAGACCATTGTACAGCGAGACCTTCATGGCTTCCTTATGGTAATCCAACACCACAGACAAAGAGGAGATCAATCTTTTCAGTATCCCTCTGAACCTCTATGTTTACAGGCACTTCCCTGAGATTTCTTTGTTAGGCAGTGGTAAATTAGTGAAGATGTGTGATTTAAAGGATGATATCAGATGAAAAGTGTGGGAAGCTGACTTTTTAAATATTAATTTCATTGGTGATTGATTTAGTCTTCATCTTCTCCTTTTTATTCCCTTATATGGTGAAAAAAATACCATATTTGGTATTATAAGGGTATCTCAGCAGTTATCCTGTACTGAAAGGTAGACAAATTATTCAAGGTGAATAATTCCTTCCTGCAAATGTGGATTTTTTCCACCATTTGTGGTTTGAACCTCATTTACAACAGTATTTCTTCCAACTAAACCTGGACTACTGAAGGATTTTGTTGTATATTAAAAACTATGCAACATTACTCCTACATTTTGGAGGATCAATAAGCCACCTAGTTCCGAGTTGTTCCTTTGGTGTCTTACAGTCCAGTTTTTAAAAATATTTTTCTCTACGGTCCTAAACAAGGAGTCTACTCTCTTCTGTGCTGTAACCACGTTGTTGTTGTTGTGCTACACACACCTAACACAGGGCTTGGGGCTCCTCTACGTCTGGAAGCACTTTGAAACTGTTGGCAGTGGATCTAAGGTTTCTGCTTTCAGCACTGTAGGTCTGAGACACCACACACTTCATTTTATGGCATTTACCAGTGGCACTGAATAGTTACACTGTCCTGAGCATGTCCTGAGTGTGAGGAA